CAACAAGCCTAGATTCCTTTGTCTTTCCAGGCTTTTTTTTAAATCTGGCCTCATGCTTTATCTGCTACTCAACTCCATTAAGCATTAAGCCTAAGAGCTATCCTTCTCTCTCTGCCTCCCCTCATCCCCATATACCAAGCCCTTTCCTAACTATGCCATTTTCACCATCTACGCTGTTCTCTCTCTTGCCGTGCCTCTAGCATCCTTCAGGACCCAGATCATTCTGGGTCACTTTCCTAAAGCCCCTGACTTCTGCAGTCCACAAAGACCTCCCCATCCCCAAGTTCCCATAGTTCTCTTTTTCGGTACACAGCTACCATGAATTGCTCTCATTCATGAGATGAAACAACCCCCACATCTAGACAGTAAGCTCCTAGGGATCAGGATCCACTTTCCTTATTTCTTCAGGCCCTTAGTAGTAGTAGTTAACCCAGTGCTGTGCACATGGCAAGTGTCTGAGGAACACTTACAGATGGGGCTAAGAGAATAAGAGGAGCTCTGGTGGTGCATTTGGCTGCTAGACAAAAGTTTGATGGTTCGAACCCACCAGGTACTCTGCAGGAGAAAGATGATGCAGTCTGCTTCCATAAAGATTTACAGCCTTGGAAAATTTGGCGGGGAAGTTCTACTCTGTCCCGTAGTGTTTCTATGAGTTAGACCCAGTTGATGGCCGTGGGTTAAGGGGACAGGGAACCCTGTTGGTGCAACAGTTAAGCACTTGGCTGCTAATAAAAAGGTTGGTGGTTCGAACCCATGCAGCCTCTTCTCTGGAGAAAGTCCTGACAATCTGCTCCCATAAAGATTACAGCCTGATGGCATTTAGCAACAATAACAAGGGGACAAAGAGAGTGCAGCTTATCAGAGGGCCTGATTGAAGAAGGCTTCCAGGAGGAGATAGATTCTCAGTCAAGGTTTGAGCTAAAGGATGATGACAACCCAATTACTCTCTAGAGCAGAAAAACTTCTTCTATAAGGGCCAAATAGTAAATACTTCAGGCTCTGCTGGCCATATGGTCTCTATCACAACTACTCAGCTCTGCTGTTGTAGTGCAGAAGCAGCCAGAGACAACACAGAATGAATGGGTATGGCTGTGTTCCAGTAACACCAGAATCAGCCAATCCTGCTCTAAAGCAAGTTCTTGGTTTTGCCAAAGCATAAGATGCTCTGACCTGCACAAGGAGATAGAGGGGCCTGGTCCCAATCTTTCTCTGCTGTGAGCCACCCATCCCCTGGGGCATTCCACCCAGCTTCAACCTGGACTGGCATGCACCACCCCTACCCATCCCCAGTTGTGTTTCCATAGCCATCTTCTAGCCACGTGTCCCCTTCTGCCTCTACAGGATTGATGGAAACACAGCCCTCCACTGGGACATCTACCCATCAGTCAGCCTCCAGATCCAGAAGAACTTTGCCAAAAGCAAGTGGAGGGTGAGTTGTCTCCTTCAGGTAGGAGCAGGCTGTTCTGGGCCCCGGAAGGTTGGACTGGGCAAGGGATGGCACAAGTCTTTCCTTGGGACTTCTCTATGAACTAGACTCCAGCAGATGCTAGTGCTCCCTGGACCCTACCTGGAATGAGAAGAGGGCACAGTGGTTTCAAGAGGCCACAGGGCTAAGGGGAAGCATGAGGCCTGTGGCCCTCAGAGAATGAAGCAGGTAAGAGTTTGGTGTTATGTTTTCTCAGCAAGCCTTCAATGCAGCAGCTGTGGTGCACCACATGAGGAAGCTGCACATGAACCTGCACAGTCCAGGAAACTGCCCAGAGGTGGAGAACAGGCCTCCTGTCACTCAAGTCTTAGAAGCCTCTAGGCCCAGCTCCCCCGAGATCACTATCACTGAGGCACCTGCCCTGGACCAGAGTGTGGCACTCCCAGCCCTGACCCGGCTACCTTGCCAGAACAGCCCCTGTCCCACTGCCCCTGGAGGCAGGTCCCTCAACTGCCTGATCAATGGTTCCCTCCGCATCAGCAGTAGCCTGGTACCTATGCAGCAGGGACCCCTGGTCACAGGACCCTGTGGCTGTTGCTCCAGCTGTCTGAACATCGGGAACAAAGCGAAGTCCTCCTACTGCTCCGAGCCCACACTCCTCAGAAAGGCCAACAAAAAGCAGTACGTATTTTTAGCCCAAACTAGAGGCCCATGCCTGCTCAGCCTGGGTCTACAAGAGCTCAGGCAATGGGTCTGAAAGAAATTATAAAAGGTCCTCTCTCACTCAGAAGCAGTTTTACAGTGTGGGGAGAGCTTCACTGGTTCAGTGAAGCAAAAGAGATTTTTTATGCCCAGAGAAAACTGTAGTGCTGGGTATTCGTGGACAGGGAACAATAAAGCCTCTGGGTTTTCTGGGACTTCTGTGTTTTGGGAGATGAGAAGGGAGTGCTTGGGTCTTTTCTGAACTTCATAAAGGGAGAACTGAGAACTCAGGCACAGAGAACTACTCCCCCACCCCACCCAGCTCAGCTTCCTTCCTCAAATACTTCAAAGCCTGCGGTTTCATCTCCTTTCCAGGCATTTCAAATCAGAGGTCATGGTGCCAGTGAAAACCAGCGGCAGCTCCCACTGCCGGGCTGGGCAGACTGGGGTCTGTCTGATTATGTGATCCCTGGAGTCTCTGCCTGTGTCACTGCAATTGTCAGGTGAGGGAACGAATGGCAGGAGGGCCAGAGCAAAGGAGTTGGGGTGGGGGAGAGCATCTGGCCCAGAAGAATAGCCCCACCTTACAGTCTAAATAATGGGGTCTGAGGGGAGCAGGAGGTAGCAGCCCGACCCCTCACCCTGAATCTCTTTCCTTCTCAGGAGAGCCATTTGACTCTTCTCTGCCCTTCCCAACCTGGCACCTGCTCTGCAGAGGGAGGAAAGGGGAGAAAGCTAAGCAGAGCTTGGCAGGAACGTTTTCTGGTCAGAGCATCAGACAGCAACTGCCTGGGAGCAGACCTTCACAGGTGTCCCTGGAGTGAACCCCAAAGTGTGAGGCCTCATGGAAGCTGTGGGCAGGAGGAGTGGCATCAACGGCCCCTGGGTCTCCCTGATCTGCCTGCTGTGTGCCCCCAACCCTCTTACTGTGGCTCTATGCAGTGTGCCTAGATGGCTCTTGCCAAGTCTGTGTCATTTGTCATGGAAAGCTTAATGGGCTAGCCAGGCTGTCACCTCCTCCAAGCAAAGCCATATGGAGCATTGTCCTTTCTCCTCATTCCGTACATGCTCACCCTGCCTCGACAGCCTCCTCCTCACAGCCTGAATGGGCTCGGCAACATAGCTGCATGACCATCTGCGTGAACGCTGGCAGCACCCAGGTCTGCCTGCGTGCTCTCCAAGTTCTCATCCTGAACCCCAGGACTTGCTCCCACCTTTTGTGACACCAGCTAGCCGACTCCCTGGCACACTCTGAACCACCTCCCCTCCAGCCTCAATCTAAAAGCAATTTCAAATCCTCCAAGGTGAAACTGAAAGAAATTCACACTGAGGTACTGTAAAGAATTATATGCTGGCCTGATACCTTTCATACACACCCAATTGAGTGAAAATCAGAAGTTGACTATTTTCAACCAGTCATTCTAATCCTGCCTCTGTTCATGTCTCTCCCTGAAAGTCAGGTCCATCATCCTTGTTCCTCCCCCACTTTTTTTGCCCCTCCATCCCCTCCAGCTTCGTGCTTAGTGTTGTACTCAATAAAATGGACATATTTTTCTCTATGAGGCTTCGTTTGATTCTTTCAAATGTCAGAAGTAGCTCAAGGAGTTCTGAGCCTCAGTGGATTATTGGAAAGTGCATGGAGAGCTTGAGGTCAGATAGAAACTGGCAACCATAGCTGATATGTATTGGGAGCATACAGTGTATGCTAGTAACCAGGACACCTATAACATGAGTTATACATATTAACTCATTTACTCCTCTCACAACTACCAAGGGGGGAGGTTCTGTTGGAGCCCAGGCCATCTGGCTCTAGCCAGATGGTGACTGTACTAGAGGAACATGAATTCAAGGCCCAGCTCTGCCCTGACCTGCCAGATCTGTGACCTTGGCTGAGTTACTTTACCTTTCATGCCTTGGTTTCCTCACTTGTCAAATGGGAATAACAGTACCATATATAGCATGAGATAACATATGTGATGTGCCAAACACAATGCTCAATAAATAGTTAATATAATGAGTATTGATAAAGAATGTAGAGAAAACACCTAGCACAGTGCCTGAGACATGGTTAGCACACAATTTCCATGTCATTTCCATATCCCCCCACTTTCCCTATACACACATCCATTTAGAACTTATCGTTAAGCTCCCAATAGACACAGATTCTAGTCTAAATTCTGCCTCCAGGGAACTGTGTAAATTGGACACTGTTTCTCTGGTTCTCATCTGTAAATGAGAAGCTGGATCAGTGTTCAAAGGTAGAAACTGCTCCTCTTGTCTCTTCTAGATCAAAACCATCAGGTCCCAGGCAAAGGGGTCCATCTCCTCACCAACCTAAGTTACCAACGGACAATTTGGACTGAGCAGAGTAGGGCAGCCTAGGCTTCACACACCAGGCCTTGGGCTCAAACAGAGGAGGCACCCAGGAACCCTGATGGAGGCAGAAACATTGGACAAAACCTTATTTAATGGAGACAGAGACCATTTTCTCTCATTGAGGCTCTTTTCCAAATATTTTTATTGGACTTTCCATTTGTACATCATTATGTGGTTACATTTTTGTGCTGATCCAGTATTCAGTCTCAAATAAGGAAGAAGGGAGGTGTAGGGACACTGCCCACTCAAGTTCCCTCCCTACGAGAACTCCCAGTCACAATGGCAGGTCTGTCTCCATCTCTGTCCCTTGAATGGAGTTGTCTCATTCATTCAGGCTCAGCTGCAGCCCAGAGATGGCCAAAGGTGGATTTTAGATTGGGAAAAAAAAAAAAAAAAATTAAAAAAAAAGTCTCATGGAGCTGTAGAGCATTTCAGTCCAATTCCTTCCAAAAGCAATGTGGGCAGACAGGTGAGGCCAGGGTCTGAAAGCAGAGCTTCACTTGCAGGTGGCATAGTAGAGCACACGCCCATTGATGTAGTCCCGGATCTGTTCCACATGCTTCTCCAGCCCAGTCAGGTCCGCAGAGCGAAGGATGATGGCCTGGCTCCCTCGCAGCAGCTCTGACTCCATGTCTGGGGACAGATGGAAGAGCAGGGTAGGAGGGGGAGCTGATGAGACAACCAATGACTCCCAACCCTTTCTTCTCCTCCCACCTTAAACTGCATGTTCAGGAGAAATCCTCTCTAGGGCAATCTAGCTTATAAGCTAATGACTGGGACTACATGTAAGATGGTCTTTCCAGCCCCATGCCTCTCCTCCAAACCCCATGCAACTCAAGAGAAAGCCAGACCCAAGAGGTCCTAACCTTCAATTATTCCCTTGCCCCTACCCCTCTCCACTGCTCTGAGCTCTCTCATTTGTTCCAGGCTGAGGTCACTAGCACCAAGATTAGCAACACACTGCTACTTGACCCAGGCAGCTGCCATCCTACCAATGGTCTCCAGTTAGACCTCATGGCCAAAGAACTGCCCAGGACCAGAATTCCTCCCCACTTCCTCTCCCCAAAATGCCACTCCAGACACATCTAGTCTTCACCTTCCATGCATACCACAACCCAATTAAGCTTGGAGGGTGTGAAGAAAGCCAAAGTGACCTAGACCAGACTGTTCCTCCTGTTGCTCCAGGCAGGTGTACCCGCTTCAACAACCATGAGAGCTGGTAACCAGCCTCAGCCTGAGCTTTTCAGGAATAGGAAGGGAGCGCACTGGCTCACAAGGCTCCAACTTTAGGCAGCTCTGTTGTTGTGTTTATCATTGAGTCAGATCTGACTCACAGTGACCCCTCCTTGGGTTTCCACGGCGGTATCACTACAGAAGTGGATTGCCCAACTTTCCTTCCAAGGAGCAGCTGGTAGGTTTGAACCGCCAGCTTTCTGGTTAGCAGTCAAGTGCCTTAGGCACTACGCCACCAGAACAGCTCTGTTGCTCCTGCTGTTATTTGCCATTGAGTCAGCCCTGACTCATAGCGACCCCTCCTTGGGTTTCCAAGGCAGTATCACTATGGAAGTAGATTGCCCAACCTTCCTTCCAAGCAGTGGCTGCTGGGTTTGAACCCCCAGCCTTCTGGTTAGCAGTCAAGTGCCTTAGGCTCTATGCTACCAGAGCTCCTAGAACAGCTCTAGTTGTTTAAAATGTCTTTTTCTCATTAGGCAAAAATCTGATCACTTCTTGCTTCCACTCAATTTTCTGGTGCCTGGAGATGTAGGAATATATCCGTTATGTTTCCCACATGGCAACCCTTCACATGTTTGAGGCCTTATCATCTCCAGGTTAAACAGCCTGAGTTCCTTCACCCAGTCCTCATCGAATTGTCAAGCCCCTCCCTCCCTCCCTCCCTTGTCACCCTGGCCACTCTCCCCTGATGTGTGCAAGTCTGTAAATACTCTTTCAGAAGACACAATGACCACCACCTGAACACCATCCTCCGGGGGAGAGCCTATCAGCAGAGTCTAAAAGGGTTATGACTGGGCTAACAGTCAGCCTGTGGACACCTGCGTGGACCTATGGACTGGCAGAACATTGAAATGCTTCCATAGCTGCTGTCTACCTCCAACCCAGATGTCCCCATGTCCATGATTCTTCTTCCCCTAATGCAGCAATTAAAGGTAAATGCATGCAAGCAGGTAAGTGCCTGCCGAGATCTTACAGCCTAAGCCTTTCCTGGGTGGTGAGTGCATGCCAAACCAGTTACTAAATATTTTTATTATCATCCCTGAGCTGTTCCTTGTCTCATTTTGGCTGCTTTGTGTTTATTAGCTCTTTTGGCAGTAGCAAGGCACTGCTGGCTTATATCAAGCCTGCAGTTACTAGAAGCTCTTGAGTTTTTTTTTTTCAGGTGAGTGAGAACTCATATTTACCATCATTTACCAGCTATGAAGTATTTGCAGCAACATTAGTCACTGAGATACCAGGCCTCGCCTGAGCTGTACTTGTAAGTTTAAGCCCGGAGAAGACCAGCATGGCAGTTAACTATTCTTCTTATTTCATTTCATCCTGTTAGTTTCAGGACATCATTTCAGACTTTTGAAATTGCCTTGAAACACTGGGTCCATTATCTAATGGATTAACTATGTGTCACCCACAAACTCGATAAGCACGTTCTTTATCTTTATGCTAAGGGTTGATGGACAAGGTCGGAGCAAGCAGAGATCCAGCCACTGGGTTCCACCCTTGAGGTCAGCTCTTCTGGCCTTATTCTTCTGTGTGGTCAGCCACAGCCTCACATCTGCCCAACCCTCCAACCTCCCTTCTCCATGCTACACAAAGACATTTTGTCAACAGCTTTTAATGAAATTCAGAGACACTCTGGCATTCACCAGGCACAACAGCCCAGTGACCCCATCATCACATCTTAGAGAAGAGAATGTGGTTCCCAAAAATCCCTGTTCCCCTTTCTGAGAGAACCTTGGCACCCTTTCAAACACTGAATACAAAAGCCTCCAATGGTTCCCTAGTGCACCCAGAATTCAGTTGTCCTTCTCCTCCCAGCACTGAAGCAGGCTGCTTCTCTCTACCACTCCTTGTCCTCACAAATCCTGCTCTCCTGTGTGTGGGTCCTGGCCCCATCCTCAGAACATGCCTTGTTCCCTCCCATCCACCCTAGTCTGCATGTCCCTCCTCTTCCTCTAAGCCTCTCCCAGGCCTGTACTTCCTTTGAAGCCTTTTCTGACCTTTTCTGAACATGACCTTCACTGAACATTTGCCTTGGAAAGGATTCATCCTCTGACTCCCTAGAGTGCTTATTGTTCAGGCCCCTATCTCAGACCACCTTGTGCTATGAAATACAGTTTCATGTATCTTGCAGTAAATGGGGAAAATGACCCCATCTGGATTGCAAGTTTCTTTTTTCATTTGTTTGTTTGGCTGGTAGGTTTGAACTTCTGACCTGTTGGTTAGCAGCCAATGCTTTAACCACTGCACCACCAGGGCTCCTTCCCAACCAGTACAGTGGACTGGAAATAATAATTCCCAGGGCTTCTTCAAAAGTATACACTGATCAGGTGCTTTTGGGATCCAACAAACCATAGCTCTCCCCACCCCCCATTTTTATTGTGATTCTGGTGTAAGTTTACAGAGTAAATTCATTTTCCATACAGCAGTTCAAACACATTTTGCTTCATGATATGATTATAATTCCCCACAATGTAATAGCTCTCTTCCCACTTCCTCCCCATAGTTAGCTCTTCTCTGTGTTTTTCTTTCCTATACATTCCTGCCCCCTAAAGCTATCTCCCTGTGCAAACATTGCCCTTCTGTTCTCCCATGATTGATCATTCTAAGGAATGTATCTACCTGATGTAAATGTTCACTCCATATGCCTGTCTGTTGTTTGGCAGGAAGCCACGGGAGTGAGTTCAACTCCAGACCTGAAGGGTAATGGGCCATAATCTCAGAGGTCTCATCAGGCTCTATCAGACCAGTAAACCTGGTCTTTTTTATGATTTTGAGTTTTGTTCCACATTGTTCTCCCACTCTATACAGGATCTCCTGAATGGATTGCAAGCTTCTTGAGGGCAGGGACAAGTCTTAGACTGGAAACATCTCTGCATTCTCCACAGCCCCTCATTGATCCTCATTATTCCAAATACAAGCCAAACTCACTGCCATCAAGTCAATTCCAACTCATAGCAACCCCCACTGTAAGTCTTTATGGAGGCAGACTGCCCCATCTTTGTTCCATGGAGTGGCTAGTGGGCTCAAACCACCAACCTTTTAGTTACCAACCAAGTGCCTTAACTACATCACATTGATCTCACTCCCGTAGCACTGCTCACTCCATGAGGAGTGGACCTCAGAAGCTCTGGATGGGGATGCCCTATAGTCCTAGCCCCTGGACCAGCCCCTCACCTTTCATCCTGTCCATCATCTCCATGGTCTCTCCAAACAGCTCCTCAGCCTCCATCTTGACACTCAAAATCCGGCTGCCTTGCTCCCCCAACATGGGGCTCCGACCTAATCGTTCCTTCAACTCCGCATACTTTTCCTTTACTCTTTCAAATCCCTGGAAATGGTAGAAAGGTCTCAGTGTCACCATCAGCAACATCCAAAGTCCTAAAATATAAGGTTAAAGCACTTGATATCACTGAAATCAACACACAGTGATATATTACCTCCTATGGAGTTCCTGGGAGCTCTGGTAGCATAGTGCCTAAGGCACTTGACTGCTAACCAGGAGGCTGGCGGTTCAAACCCACCAGCCACTCCTCGGAAGGAAGGTTGGGCAATCCTACTTCCGTAGTGATAACTGCCTCGGAAACCCAAGGAGGAGTCGCTAGGAGTCGGGGCCGACTCTATGGCAAATAACAATGGAGTTCCTGGGTAGTGCAAACAGTTAAGCGTTCTGTTGCTAACTGAAAGATTGGATGTTCAAGTACACTTAGAAAAGGCTGACTACCTATTTCCAAAAAATCAGCCACTGGAAACCCTACAGGATACAGTTCTACTTTCATACACAAGAAGTCATCATGAGTCAGGGCCAACTTGATGGTAAATGGTTATTATACCTTAATAGTTTTGTTTTGCCTAGATCACAGATTATGACTTAAACTTCCCCTGTATTTCCCTTCCTCCCTCCCATGGCTCTATTTTGCCCACCTCACTTCCAGCACAATGCTGGGCACATGTTGTTGTTGTTGTTGTTATGTGCCGTCGAGTCGGCCCCGACTCATAGCGACCCCTCCTTGGGTTTCCGAGGCAGTATCACTACAGAAGTAGAATGCCCCATCTTCCTTCCGAGGAGTGGCTGGTGGGTTTGAACCACCAGCCTTCTGGTTAGCAGTCAAGTGCCTTAGGCACTATGCTACCAGAGCTCCCATGCTGGGCACATAGTTGTCACTTAATAGTATACTCGGCAGCATGGCCACTGTATGGGACTACATGGGCCAAGGTTTCTGGGCCTGGATAAAGCAAATGACAAACCTAACACATGGAGAATGGCTCTTGAATCTAATTCTGACAGTGATGAGGCCCTGGTTAGGCTAAGTCAAGAGCATCTGTCTGGCCTGGGGAGCCAAGACAAGGCCTAGTACAGTGGGACAAGCTTGGAACTGAATGTCCAGAGACCTACTTGTAGATGAGCTTTGGGCCTCTGGACAAGTTACTACCTCGTCTGTAATAAAAAAGACTGCCCCAGATTGTTTGCAGTGTCCCTGAGCCCACTATACCACAGGAAGTCAGTAGAAAAATTCAGATGTTAGCCAGGTCTGGACTACTCCTGAAGCTCCTTCTTGCTCTATTACAGTTGCTTTCGAGCCAATGGTCTTATAAAGTGTATACTTCCTCTCCTGCACAGGACCCCACACTGATGTGCTTCCTCTGGCACTGCCCTTAACTCTGCCATGCTCTGTACCTCCTGAGCACTCAATGCCTGCTCGTTGGCACTCTTGGCGAGCTTCTGGGCCTGGGCCGCCTGGGCCTGCTGCTGCCCAGCCTGGTGGCGGAGCTCCTCTATCCGTGCCCGGAAGCCACGCAGCTGTTCTGTCATGCCCATCACCAGCTTTTCTGTTGGCCCCAGTACCTGCTGAACCTATGGAAAAAGGGGGAGGAGATGGAGGTTTGTGGTGGGTCATACCGACAGTGTCCTTCAACTTTGCATTTTCCCTCTGCCTCATTAGGCAGCAAAACTCTCTCCAACTTGGAAATCAAAGACTGTTCCCCTCCCAATCCTCTATCTGTCCTATGGACATCCAGGCCTCCTCTTCTTCCCATTCAGCTGACCCTACCCCCACTGGGGCTCCGTGTCCATCCCTGGCTTCTGCATCCTGACCATGAGATCAGAAAATCAAAGGCTCAAAGTTGGGCCCAAGGCTTATAACACTTCTTCAGGCCCCCACCTCAGTTTTCATCAGTATCTCTCTCTGATATCTTCATGCCCTGGGCCTGGCTGTTCATTCCCAGATATGGGGAGGGCAGGGACAGGTAGGGAGGAAGCCACCTTGCCTCACCTCAGCAACCCTCTCCTGAATCAGCCGAAGGGAGCGGCTGGTCCCCTGCATGGTGTCCTGAGCTTCCTGCAGTGCCACTGTACCCCTCCGCAAGTTCCCCACCACATCCTCCACCTGGCCTTCCACAACGTGGGCACGGGTCCTGGGGTAAGGGAGTGGAGGGTAAAGCAGAAACAGAAGGAGTGAACAAGTGAATGATAAGTGTGTGGTTCTCCTCAGCCACTAGTCCAAGAGAATATTCTTCCCAGACAAGACAAAGGGCAAGGGAAGTATTAACAGTAGCTATTACATCCCAGGACTCCCCCAAGCAGACAGGAAGAATATAGGTGTTATATCTAAGACCCCTTAGGGCAAAGTTTCCAGTATGGAAGGCAGGGTCATGTTGATAAAAGTTTAATCCGAACTCTGTGCATCACTTAACCATCTCCTACCACCATGGTAAGCACCTCTCCTGCCCCTGAGCCCTCTGCACTCTGATCTACAGAGGTTCTTCTCCACTCCAGCGATGGAGTTGGGAGGCAAAAAGCCAGCCCAAGCCTGAGCAGGGGAGTTCAGGGCTAGGCTGTACCTGGCCTGCTCAGCCTCAGCCTGCAGCCTGCGGGCCCGCGCAATGTCCTGCTTGGTCTGGGACAGCACCAGGTCCACATTGGGGAGCCTGGCCGCGATTGCCTGGATCTCATTCATCTTTTGCAGAACAGTAGCAGAGTCTGTTGGCAGCAACAGGGCCAGCACCGCCTCACTGACTTCCTGGATGGTGGCTGCATCAGTGCCAGGGTCTAGAAGATAGTCATGTATCAGATTTGGGGAGCCCACCCTATCTCCTCAAAGATCCAAACTGAGCAACACCTGTGGGAGACACCTTCTGGGGCCCTTCTGCCCTAGTGCCTCCAGTTCCCCTCAAGCAGCCTGAGGCCCCTGTTCTGTGAGGATGTCTGGGACATTGCAGGCAGATGATTGTCCTACCCTCCATGTTGTGGGGAGGAGGATGTTGGCACAGCTGTGGCAACTAAGTGTCTGGAGCCCCAGGAAGCTGCAGGCTGGGGAAAGGAGGTGGTGCCAGACAGCTGCTATGAAACAATGCTGAAGCATATACATAATCAGCCCTAAATTAGGGAGAATAGCCAGGAACTGGAGCTGCTTCCCTGGAAATAAGACCCCATCTGCACACCCCTCCTCAGGCGAGAATGCTCATTTTTGCAAAAGCTTCTAAAGATTATCAAGTCTTTGCTCAAATGTCCTCTCCCTGGCCACCCAATCTAGAATTGCAACCTCCACGCTACCGTAGCTCTCCTCATATTCCTTCCCTGTGTTATCTTTCTCCCTGGCACATGTTACCATTGACATGCATATGCTCAACTCATTCATCTGGTTTCTTGTCTGTTTCCTCCTAGAATGTAAGCTCCACGAGGACAGGGACTTTGTTTTGTCTTCAGCTCTATCCCCAGCACCTAGCACAGTTCCTGACACTTGGAGGCACTCAGTATATGTAAAGTAAATGAATGATTGAATGGGCTCTAGATCCAGCTCTCTCCTTTCCTATGCAAGCAACCTGGGGCAAGTCTGAGCTCAGTTTCCTGATCTGTGAAATAGGAATAACAACCCCCAGCCTGAGAGGATGAAATGCAATAATCTTTTAGCAAGAGTGTTTAGAGGCCAAACTGTGTCAGAGAACAAGAACAGAACTAGAGTCCCTAAGTGATGCAAACAGTTGATGTACTCAGCTGCTAAGTGCTGGAGGTTCGAGTCTACCCAGAGGTATCTCAGGAACAAAGGCCTGGTGATCAGCCATTGAAAACTCTATGAGTTTTCAGTTCTACTCTGACACACATAGCTGGGCAAGGGGGTACCATGATTTGGAATCAACTCGACAGCTACTCGTTTTATTATTTTATCAATTCCATTTGAAGAACTGAAAAAGACAATGTCTCCTCCTTCCTCCATGCTGCGACCCTTCAAGTCTATAGCACCTAGTACCCAGCCCCTCCTACAGCAGCAGGACTCTGGAAACTAGAACCTGTGACGCCATAGCAAGTCTGACAATTATTCTAGCTTCCTCCCAGGGGTTGGGCCTCTCTCAGGCCCTGATCCTTCTCTCTGTCCCTGTCCCCATCATAGGACTTGAGCTTAGATATAAGTATAACTGAGGGGACAAAAATACATTTTTGTCCTTTCCACTGCTCATCACTGCCTATCTGTTGGTATGAGCCTGGGCTGCACCCTGAAGAAGAGACTTCCAACTCATGTCACGCTCCCTGAGGTCAGGGGGAGTTAATGTAGAAGAGGTGGCCCTTCAGTCTTATTGGGCTCAACCCTGGGCCCCAAGCCTAGGCCTGACCTTTTGTCTGTGTATCCCATCTCCCTGCAACCCCAGGTGGCATGCTACCCCACTGTGGACCTCTCAGGGAGGCTGAGCCTACATGACCTTGAACAAGTCACAGGACTTCCCCCACATCCTTCCTGTCTCTCTCCAACCTGCCATCAGCACTCAAGACGGGGCTCTAGCCAATCTGGGACAAAGGCACTGCAAGAGTAGCAAGAAGCCACTGTAGTTACACCAAGCCCTCTGCTCATATGAACTGGGCTTCCAGCCAAGCAAATTCCCTGGCAGAGACCCAAAATCTAATAATATCAGCTCATATTCCTAAGGCCCTTTTAATTTTTCAAAACATATTTCACATCACTTATTTGATCCTCAGACTCTACTTCTGAAATACTATGATCCCAGTTTCCAGAGATGAAAGAGGAGGCAAAAGGAAAAGTAACTTGCTTCAAGTCTCCTGAGTCCAGGGATCTTTCCATTACATGGCCCTTCCCCACTCCTAGGGCAACAGGGGTTGTTATTGTTGTTATGTGCCATCAAGTCGGACCCGACTCATAGCGACCCCTCATTCAGTTTCCGAGGCAGTATCGTTATGGAAGTAGATTGCCCCATCTTCCTTCCGAAGAGTGGCTGGTGGGTTTGAACCACCAGCCTTTTGGATAGCAGTCAAGTGTCTTAGGCACTATTCTACCAGAGCTCCCAGGGAGGGGGTCGTTTATTCATTCAACAAATGTCAGGTGCCTTTTCATTATGCTTGTTGCTGGCAATACAGTGGTAAATAAGACAGACAATGATCCCTGCCCACTTGGAGTTTACAGTCTGGTGGGGAGATGAATAATACACTAGTAGACAAATGAATTCAATAACCATAGCCTGAGTGGTGGTGTTGGGTGCCACCGAGTTGATTTCAAACTCCTAGCAATCCCATGTGAAAGAGTAGAACTGCTCCATAGGGTTTCCAAGGCTGTAATCTTTATGGAAGCAGACTGTCAGGTCTTTATCCCATGGAGCCACTGGGTGAGTTTGAACTGTCACCCTTTAGGTTAGCAGCTGAGCACTTAACTGCTACCAGGGCTCCACACAGCCTGAGTAATGCAATGAAAAGTCAGGCACTGAAGGGCAAGAGGAGGGGAGGGGACTACCAGAAGGGGGAAAGGGTCAGGAAAGGCCTCTCTGGGGAGGTGGCATTTCTGTGTTTCTGCTTTGATCTTTGTTATTTTCTTTCTTCTGGTATCTTTAGGCTTAGTGTGTGCAGTAGTTAAGTTTGTGTGTCAACTTGGCTGAGCCTGGCTGAGTGGCTGGGCAGCTGAATGTAGTTATTCCCCATGGTCATATTGGTAATTAACTCCATGGCGGAATCTATTGGAACTGCTGAGTAGCTGCTTTGGGTACGTGGTCTGCTTCCCGTATATAAGAAACAGCTTTGGGAATGGTCTCTTAGCATATGGCATGCTTGAACTCTGCTTGTAGCCGTGGCATTTGCTGACCTTGGGACTTTCAGTGGACTTGAATTAATGGCCTGCTGCATTGTTTGGTAACATCAGAAATGTGCCTTTTTACTTGTCAACCTTGGGCTTGTCAGTCTTAGCAGCCAGCAGCTGTCTGAGTGAAGAAAAGCCTCCAGCTTCAGTGGACAAGGAGCAGGCAGTAGAGCTGAAGCCCGAGGTTGAGGGGCTTTCACCCAGCCCCTGAACTCAGACTTAATGGCTCCAAATTGTAGGGGAATAAACTCCTGTTTGTTAAAGTCATGCCATTTGTGGTATATTCCTGTCAGAGCGGCACTAAGTAACTGAAACAGTGTGCTCTACTTTTTCTAGTTCCTCAAATGTAGAGTTAGGCTACTGAGTTGAGATCTCTCTTCTCTTTCAATGTAGGCATTTATTTCTATAAATGTCCCTCTGATTGCTGCCTTTGCTGTATCCCATGGGTTTGGGTATGTTGTGTTTTCATTTTTGTTCAAATCTAAGTATGTATATATATATATATCGAGAAATATATATATGCATATATATATATATGTATATATATGTATGTGTATATATATATATGTATATATATGTATATATATATATATATATATATATATATATATTTCTCGATTTCTTCCTTGACCCTTAGTTGTTTTTTGTATTTACTTTCCATGTATTTGTATGCATCCTTGTTTTCCTTCTGTTATTAATTTCTAATATTATGCCCTTGATTTCTATTAATTGCTAGTATGCAAGCCCTTGTGGTCAGAGAAGATGTGTTGTATGTTTTCAATCTTTTAGAATGTATTGAGAAGGAGATGGCATTTAAACTGAGACCTTGAGGTCAGGAAGCAGGAAGTAGCTTTAGGGATAGCACCCCAGGCAGAGAAACAACCAATTAAAATCCCCAAGGCAGGCAACAGCTTAGTATATTTGAGGATCAGAAGAGGGAAGGCCAGGAAGGAGGCAAGAAAATGCACAAGACCAAGAGATGGGTAGAAGCTAGACTTTGTAGGATAAGATAAGGAGTTGGGATCTCAATCTAAGAATAGAGTGAAGCCATTGAAGGAATTTAAGCAAGAAAGGAATACAATCCAACTTATATTTGTAAAAGCTGTTTCAGGCTTTTATGTTGAGAATGGACTGTGGGGAGCAGGAGAGGAGATGGGAGGGTTATTAGATGTCCACAGCAGTGATGCCAACAAGCATTGAATGATGGCTTAGAACAGCCAGGGTAGTGGCGTGAAATGAGGGAAGGAGACAGCTGGCTGATAAGCTGGATGTGGGAATGAGGCACAGGCCAGACTCAAACACCAGGAAGGGGAGGACAGAGTCAAGGCTCACCTGTGAGGAAGTCCTGGACCTGCTGGATGAGGAGCCGAGTGCGTTGGATATCTTCCTCCATCTGGGAGTGGCTGGTGCTCACCTGGGTCTCCAGGCGTTGAGCATCTCTTTGGATCTGCAAGGCAGCTTCCTCAGCTGCCCTGATCTGTTGACACACACTCTGGGGTTAGCAATAGTCAGAGTCCCCAGAAAGCCTCTCAGTAACACCCAAGGGTCCTGTGGGCCACCTTCTTGCCTAGGAAGCATTTGTAACTAATGCAGTTTGGCCCTAGAAAAGATGGTGTGAATGTCACACTGGTTCCAAACTTTCTGTCTCACTTGTTGTGGGGCTTTGGCCCAGTCACATAACATCTCTAGGCTTTAGTCTCCCGACTTTAAAATGGGAACTCTACACTGCCAGCTGGATTCTATCCTCTCGACCTCCTCCTAAATGTTCCCACCCACCCTGTCCTCACCTACCATCTGCCAAGTCTGCTGGAGCTGGGTGTTGAAGCCCCGAAGTTGCTCAGCCACCTGCCCTGCAGTCCGGAAGGCCCCACTTGCCCTGGCCAGGGCACCTCTGCAGTGTGAGCCACAGGCTGTACCATTGTCTCGGGGACACAGTTCACCAAGGCATGCTCCGGGGGTACAGGCCATCTGCCTAGAGCCCCCACAAACCTGTAAAGAGATGGGAGTGTCTAAGAGACTATTCCAATGATCCTCAACAACCACTCCTATCCCACACCCAGAAAACAAACAGCCAGACATCTCCATGGCAACCAGACACCAGAAATGTGTTTCCTTGGCAACCACTGAGCACACCATGAGAGGCATAAAGGTGGAGGTAGATGGGGAAGTAGGGTGTATTCTCACCGGAGCATGCTTGTCTTAATAGGAAATGTGTGGCAGCAGTTGGCATGCAGCAAGCTGGGGGCCTCCAGGAAGTGGGATTCCATCCATGCCACAAATCAAGAACCCACCTTGTTGATGGTGGGTGTCAGGTCAGGGAAGGAAGCCATCTTCAGCTTCAGTGCTGCAAGTTGTGGGGCACTGGTGCCTCCTCCTCCTGATAACTGCCTCTCCAGTCGCTCAGCCTCTTTCCGTCTGTCCCTGAGCTGGCGCAGAAGGAGAGACCTATCGGAGACCTGCTGGGTGGCCTGGGATGACTGCTTGTAGGCTTCAGTCAGCATCCGGAAGGCTCCTGTGACAAGAGGAAAAAAGGACTGAGACATCCTGGGAGTGCAGGAGATGAGAGGAAGGGCAGGAAGGGACAGGAGGGATGGCCACAGCAACACCAGAGCTGTCTGAGTGCCCCTCCTCACCTGAAGGGTCAGCACCGCTTATTTTTTCAAACTGATCCCTCTTGCTCTGGTACATAACAAGGAGATGATTGAAGCTCCGGTCCAGGCTATCCAGGTCCCCTGGGAGGGACAGTGTCTCCTCCTCTAGGGGCAGATCCATCTGCAGGCTCTGGAGAGTCCGCCTGAGATGGAAGAGGGGCTTTCACTAAAATATGAGGGATTTTACCTTCCCTTGGAGAAATCGCTATTGAGTCAAGAAAAACTGAAATCTCCAGCAAAGGTAGCAAAAGGGAGGACCTACAGGTTAAGGAAGATTCTCACTGGCAAAGGCTGGGAGTACTGGAACAGTTTCCCACTCCCTCTGAAGGTGGGTTCTTCGTGTGACCTCCATAAACCTTTCTCCTTCCTTGACTTTGGTGATGCCAGCATTCCTGATTCTCCTCCACCTCTCAGAAGCTGCTCTCCCTGTTGCTGGCTTCCAGAGGAGCATCACCCTGTCCTGCCCTTCTCAGCTCTCTGCAGGCTGACTTCAGCCACTACCTGTTCTGGAGGCCACACCTCCAACTGAGCTCCAGACCCCATAGCTGCTGTCCATTGGTCATCTCCATCTGAAGGGGATTCAGGATCCACCTGCCCAAACCCACACCCATGGAGATTTCAGAGATTCCTCTCTCTTCCACACCTTTTGCAGCTCTGCCTACCACCAAGACCTCCTTCCCATGCCTTGAATTCTTGCACCTCCAGGCTTTGCTCAAGCCTCAAATGTCCTTCCATACCTACATGTCCAGATTACTGGATGCCTGTGGGGAGCTCTAGTGGTGTAGTGGTTAAAGTATTTGGCTGGCTTGAACCCACCAGCTGCTCCACAGGAAAAAAGATGAGTCAGTCTGCTTCATAAAGCTTTACAGCCTTGGAAACCCTATGGGGCAGTTCTGCTCTGTCCTACAGGGTCACTATGAGTTGGAATTGACTTGATGGCAGTGAGTTTGGTTGGATGCCTTTGGAAGGCCCACTCAACTTTTGAGACTTGGGTCAGATGACACCTCCTTCATGAAGCCCCCATGACTACTCCCCCATAGGCATTTTCCCTCTTTTATAACATGTATTACATTATAGTGACATTACAGGTCTGCCTTCCCCATAGGAACTTTTGAAGGAAAAAACTATGCCATATTATTTTAATATCTGCAACATCTTGCACAATGTTTGGCTCATAACAAATGCTGGGGAAAATTATATATGGGATGAATGAATGAATGAACCTCAACATTTGCTCTAGCTCTTCTGCCAGAACTTCCAAAAAAGAAGCTCCTGTGCACCCATGAATAACTGAGCCTCAGTTATCATTCTTCTCAGGCTGCCTCTTTCCTGCTACCAATCACACACCTGGACAGCTCTGTGCAACCTCAGTCAACCAGAGCTTGGAAAAAGCAAACTAATTATAGAAACTTCCAAAATCAAATATCACTGCGAAGGAGTCTCTGCTGGTGGGAGGGTGTGTGGGTGAAAACGCTTCCATTCCAAAGGCAAATAGAAGTTATTTTTAGAGCCCCTGCCTCTCTGATGCCCTCCACCAGATGACTAATCCAAAGCTGACTTGCTCTGACAGGCAGCGCGGTACTCGAAAGAACACTGGGTTTGTGCTCCCAGCCTATCTTTGTGTCAAGCCTCTGCCCTTTGTGGCTAGAAAGCTCTGTCCCATCACCTCCCTGTGCCTGTTTCCTTACCTGCAAAATGGAGTACTAACACCCACCACACCAACATCACAAGACCGTGGTGGTAATTAAAAGAGATACATGAAAAGGCCTTATGAGCTGTAAAGGGCTGTGCACACGTAAGAAAGACAAGTGGTGCCCTTACGTAAGCCCATGAGGTAGAATTCTCCTGAGCACTGGCAGGGAAAAGGAATTACCTGATGGAGAAGATGGCATTAGCCACCTGGGCTACTTCCTGCTCTGTGGCTGAAGCACTGCTGAGAATTGCTTGGATCTGATCAATCTTGCTCTTTGCGTCCAGAATATGGGCAGCCAGGCTGTGGTCTCCTAGGCCCAGCCCAGGCCGCAGACTGGCAGTGGCATTGTGGAGGCCGCTGAGGCGCAGGGCTTGCTTCCGGAGTTCTGCATCATAGGTCTGGAAGCAAGGATGGCAAGCCACACACACTGGGTACCGATCACAGTAGCCTCGCTGGCACTGGTCACAGCGGGGCCCAGTCAAACCAGGGCGGCAGAGACAGCGGCCCGAGGTCTTCTCACAGCCTGGGCCCTCAGTTCCCCGGAAATCACAGTCACAGGCTAGGATCAGAAAGAAATGATAGTCAGACGGTAAGGTTCAGAAAGACAAAGGCACCTGAAGAAGAGGTCTGAACTCAGGGTTTTTCTTCATGACTTGGAATAATAGACTGCTGAGGGCCAGACAACAATCATGATAACAATGAAAGCAAACACTGATTGAGTGCCTACTGTGTTCCAGGCATCCCTGGGTGGCATGAATGATTTGCTCTCAACTACAGACAAAAAGATTTTAGCTCAGAAAATTCTAAGGAGCTCATTTCTATCCTGTAACACATAGGGTCGCCATGAGTCAGAATCAACTTGACAGCAACAGGTTTGGTGTGATATTTTTGTGTATGTGTGCCAGGCACTGGTCTAAACCACACACACACATACACATTAAATCATTTGATCTTGACAACCACTCTATGAGTACAAAAAAAAAAAAAAAAAACAGTTGCTGTTGAGTGACTGTGACTCATGGCAACTCCATATATGACAGAGCAGAACTGTGCTTCATATGGTTTCCAGTGGCTAAATTTTGGAAGTAGATGACCAGGCTTTCTTGCAAGGTGTTGCTGGGGTGAACTCAAACCTCCAACCATTCAGTTAGCAGCTGAGTGTGTTAACCATTTGCATCAACCAGGGACTCCCTCTATAAATTAGCAACTCTTATTTTCCCAATTTTATAGATGAGGCAACTGCAGCACAGGGAGATTAAGCACAACATGTCTCATTTTACAGAAGAGGAAATTGAGGCCTTATGAGGGGAAGTGACTGGGCCAAAGTCACTGAGTGAGGCAGTGGCAAAGCTGAGGCCAGAGCCCAAGTCTGCATACTCTAAGCCCTGCACTCTCTTTACTGCATCAGACTGACTCTGGGAAACCAGTATATATCTTTCCCCTCAGGACCCATTTTTCCACTTACAAAGAGGAAAGAAGTATCCTCCCTTCCGTGACACTTCCCCAGACATGGTTCTACAAAATGCTTTCTCAAGGATGTTAGAGAAAAGCAGACATGCCAAGGGTCAGCCCGGCATTCCTGCTCCAAGGCTGGGAGCACACACAGACTGGCTGGCCCTGGCCGTGGATAGCAGTAATGGGCAGTGTTGCATTCAGGGGCTGCCAGCCCACAGCACACATTGATACATGGTGTCCTCACACAATAGATTCACACACATGCCCATGAGCTCATCCTCCCATATCCCCCTGGGAGAGTGTGCACCTCGGCATCTGTTGGCCATGTCTCCATAGGTCTGGTCTGGACACTGGCGGATGGCTGCGGCACTGCATGTCAGGCCTCCAAACCCTTCTCGACAGGGGCACTGCCCTGTGAACTGGGAGGGAGGGGAGAGGAAGGGGAGTGCTGTCAGGGGAGCTGGCCTCACAGCTATCCCAAATCTCTGGTCAGCAGATAGAATCTGGGCCTCACAACCTGTGGAGCTGGTGCGCCCCTTCTCAGAGATAAGCCTGAAGTCAAAGCTCAGAGTGAGCCCTGCAGAAAGTGTGGCAAAGATGGCATCGCCAAAGCTGAGAGTCACAGAGAAGGGGACATGTGGTAGTCTCCCCAAAAGGCCCAGCCCTGACTCTGGAAAGTGCCAGAAGAGTAGCATGAGGTGAGGCAGAGAAGCTGGTGGACAGGACCTCCACTGTTGCAGAGAGACCCCACTACTGCCCTGCACCTCATACCTGGTTGCATTGGGGACTGAGGGAGTTGTGCTGGTCGCAGGTACATGGTTCGCAACCCCGGCCGCTAGCCAGCTTCCAGTGGTAGGGAGCACACTGGTCACACTTGGGGCCCACCACATTGGGCAGACAGAGGCAGCGCCCACTCTCTTCATCACAAGGCATGTCCCGCCAGGACCCCAAGATGTTACAGTCACAGCCTGCAGGATGGAGGATGGGGATGCCTCACAAAAACAAAACCTAGAGGATGGGTATCCAGAAAGCGGACCCAGCCTGAGGAAGAACTAGGGAGGGCCATCCCTCCAGATAACATGGTTGACTCACAGGCCACTGGGCTCTGCCACCAGTCCCAGCCACCTGGCAGTCTGGCAGCCAGCCTTCCTGCCCACCCTCACTGACTCAGTCCTCCTCCCCAGTTTGGGCCCATACTGCCACCTGCTGGAGACCAGTGGCACAGAGCCTGGTGCTGAGGGAAAACCAAGGAGAGAAATCAGGCAAATGCCAGGGAGTTCTGATGGTGTAGTGCCTAAGGCATTTGACTGCTAACCAGAAGGCTAGCGGTTCAAACGCACAAGCCACTTCTTGGAAGGGAGGTTGTACAATCTACTTCAGTAGTGATACCGCCTCGGATCTGACTCAACGGCAGTGAGTTTGGTTTTGGCTTTAGGCAAATGGCAGGTATAGCCTCACAGTATACCCTAGGCTGGGATTTCTTCCGGAGAGAGTATGGTGAGCAGGATAAGTCATGGGTCTGGTGGCCTTCATGCAGCCTAACCCATGCCATGTGGACGGGGCCCACCCCTACTTACGGTGGCAGCCCTGAGGGTTGGTATAGGTGAGTCCAGTAAAGCCTGGCTTGCACAGGTCACAGCGTTCTCCCTGGACATGCTCCTTGCACACACACTGCCCACTCACTGGGTCACAGGGAGCCCCTGGTACTGCCCCATCTGGGTCACACTCACAAGCTGAGAGACAAAAAACAGCATCACAGTAGAAACAAAGAGGAAATGAAGAGGGTTAAGAGTTGATTCTAGGAGCCAGAAGATGTGAGTTCAAATCCTTGTTCCACCACTTACTGGCTGTTTTCCTTAGTCAAATTACTTCACCCCTCCATTCCTCAGTTTTCTCATCTGGAGAAATAATAATAGAGACAATAACAATACAGTCCTCACAGGCTTCTTATGAGGAGTAAATGAATAATATAAAGAATATGGAACAGTGCTTGGCATATGTTAAGTACTATAGACATATTTTTGGCCATTATTATTTATTGAGCAATTACTACATGCCAAGTACTGAGCTAGGTACTCTCACATATTACATTATTTAATCATTTTGATAAGCCTGAAAGTTGGATATTAATAGCCCCATTGTAAAGATGAGAAAACTGAGGCTCAGAGATTTTAAAGAACTTCCTTAATGTAAGTGGTAGAGACAGAGGTCAAACTCAAGTCTGTTTCATTCTTTCCATAGACAAATAATAACAACAAGAAGTGGCCCAGCTTCTCTTATCCCCACATCAAGACCTCTTTTATGCCTATCAAAACATAAGACTCCACCTTCATCTACAAAGTCCTCCCTGATTAAACCTGCCCCCACCAGACTGCTTCAGTCCAGCTTGCATTCTCCCATATGAACTTACTGGCACTTGTGGACATGTTAAGTCATTCCTGGATGTTCCGATCCATTCCATTCACATGTTCATTCAACAAATATTCCTTAAGTTTCAATTATTTGCCAGTCAGTCACTATGGTAGGGCCTGAGGCTTTAAGATATAATCCCTGCCATCAAGGACTTCTCAATGTTGGGGAACAAAATAAATAACAAACCCCATTCACACAGTAAAGGCAATAACAGCTATATGGATAAAGGGAGCTTGAAAAATCAGTAGGAGTTTGCCAGGTAGAGTCATGGGAAGGATGAAGCATGAAAGTTTGCCAGGTGAAGGTAATCATATGTGCAAAAAAAAAAAAAAAAAAAATCCGAATAGGCAGACACAGACTCTCTTCAACTAAGAAAAGAAAAACCAATTGACAAAGATAG